ATGAGATAAAATGAAGCAATGCATGAATGTTTGCAGAAAAAGGTTTTTACACTTTTTCAATGAAAAAAATCTCCTCATTGTGTTATCTGTCAAACGGTGGCCAAATGTTCACATACAACTGTACATGATGTATTTATTGTTTAAAAAGTGTTTCATCAGCAGAAACACAAACCCCAGTCAGGACATTCACGTGCCATCAAAAAGAGGAAGTACATGGTTTCCTGTTCGTATATGTTAGAAGGAATGAGCTGCAGACTGTCATCTGATGCCAACAAAGATGGAGAGCACACAGAGAGGTTTAGCTTGGGGAAAATTCTGCCCCTACGTCGCAGTAATTGGGATTTTTATCTTGCTTGGCCGGGACTTTGAATGCACTTGCAAACCACAAGCCTTTGACTGCAACTTGTACCTGGCTCTGCCTTTTTCCATAATATTTCTCTTAATACTCTGGACGGACAGGTCATTTCAGAGAGTTTGTAGATACCTGACGTCATGTGGCTGGCTTCACACCTGCAAGTTTCTTGGTTCTTTCATCCATCACATCATCAAGGCAGCTTTCGTAGGTCTGCTGTGGGTTGTGGCAGTTTTGGTCGATGGAGACTGGTACGTCTGCTGTCTGAACGATCACTCTGAACAACAGAAACAGTTAGCCTGCAAAGCTGTGGGGATGATCACTGAAGAGGAACGAGTCATCATCGCAGAACTGAAAAACAAATCCAGGGTGGGTTGTTTTTCTTTGCTGGGAACATTGGGGAAATATTTTGACGGCCACAATAATGGTTTTGCAGCACACAGCAATTTCCCCACTCACAAACTCATCATTTCCATTTTATGCTACTTTCTAAACTTTTTACTCCATTAAATATCTTTAATAGTTATAGTTACCAATTACTTCTCAGACCAGTATTTTATATTTTCATCAAAATCCTCTTAAATAAAATGTACAAATTAGCATAGTTACAGATTAAACTACTCAAAAGTAGAGCTAAATGAAGTTAAGTTAACATTAGCTTCATGTTGTTGTCAATTTTAAACTGGCAGGTTTGCAGGTCTGTTTTTGTGTGCATAGACCAGATTTATCAGGCTTTTGTTGAAGGGTTGTTGCAGCCTAGAAAGCCAAAAGATTTCAGGGCACCTTTAAAAAAAATGCAGTGCCTGTCATGGTGTTTTTAGTTTAGTCCTGTTTTTGTAATGAGAAAGTGAATATTGCATAAATAGAATTAATAAATAAAAAATCAAAGGCAACTTGTTCCAGTGAGAGTAGAATCTTCTGTAGTTTGATGACGTTTGGCTCTACAGTGATTGGTTGAATTTGCATTAATTGTTGCGTTTACAATTTCAGGTTATTGGCTCCTTTTTGCTCTTTGGTATTGTTTGTGTGCCGGCCGTGATGTCGTCATTTGGATGGAGGAAATGTTCAAGAAAACAATTATACGACAAACTGATTTTGGAGGAGGAAGAAAATGTACTGAGAGAGATTTTGAGGAAATCAGCAAAAGAGAAGTTGACTACAGGAGTCAAGGACAAAATACGTGGCTTAGATTGGGAGGAATGTTTTGATGTCGCTGCAAAACTGATTAAAGAATCCACCACACCAATCGTTTCTGAAGAGGCACAAGCATCGTAAGAGCAGGTAAAGAATCTGAACCTTGCTTACAAAAAACTGCAATAAAACTCAATAAATAATGATTTTATCAACACAGCTAACTTTAAGTATCACTGAGCAGCTTTCTAACTTTCATCTTCATAATCAGATTTGATGGATGTGTAATTTATCCAGATTCCACCAAAGGTCGCTGCTGCATCACCTTTTAGTACTCAGCTGAAATGATTATCTGATGCAGATAAGATAGGATAGAGGATTATCAGAGTAAAATGTGTTAATATCCATACTCGTAAATATAATAAGGATAATAATAATAACTTTGATTCAAAAACAGGTTCCGTAAATAGTTACTCAAACTGCTCTGAAGCTCAATTCTGAGACTCTTCTGTAAACAGTTTTTTAATAAATACAGCAACTTATTAACCCCTATCAAGCCCTATCAAGCCCTGCTAATTTCAAGTATGGATATGAAGAAAGATAATGGTGTACTCTCTCAACCCCTCTTATTTAGTATAATCATTTTATTTTGTTTTTACTCCTCTACATTCTTTAGACAGATTTTCTTTATTGTCAAGTGTGGCAAAAACACATATGATACTCATGTGATATTCTCATTATTTCTTTATGTCTTCATTTTATTCTTAAAGTATAACTAAACCCCTGAATTCTTCTAGCTCCCTCACTTAAAAAAACATATAGGGGCCTGCAGGTAACACCTGAAAGAGTGACAGACTGACTACCACTCAGAGTAGCAGGACATGGACCATGACAGCTGCTGTCTCTGTGTCCGCAGTGGAAACACAGACTCTGCTGGAGCTTTTTCAGTCACTAGAAGCACATTCACTCATTCACTGTTTGTAACCGTTTCTGTGGAGTTCCTGTGTTGTATCTCTTCAGTGTCGTATCTCTTCAGTGTCCACCCCCCCACTGACACTGACTCTTATACCCACCCTGTATATACAGTATGCATTACATTAATGCACCCCCCCCGTCTTCTGCACATTTTTCTTTTATTATCTTTCTTATCTCATCTATTTATATTTGAAAGTACCTTATTTTTCTTTGTGATTTTTGTGTGATTTTTAGTATGATTTGAATAATTGTATATTGTATATTGTATATTTGTATATTTGCATTTGTATACGTTATGCACCAACTGCACCAGGTCACATTCCTCATAGGCGTAAAAACCTACTTGGCAATAAACAAAATTCAGATTCTGATTCTGACTCTCATTATTACTGCTGTACAGTCAGATGAGCACTAAAGTACAGTGCCAGTAATACAGTACTGTAAGTGTGTGTAAGTACCTGCCAGGTAAAAAAGTTGTGTAACACATAAAAAATATATTAATATAACTTTACAGGCACGTGTAAAAATGAACTCAATCAACCGACCAGCACCAGTAAAGAAAATGGTTCTCACACAGTGTGCAGTGCAGGAGATGCTTTAAGATGAAAGGTAGTCAGCACACAACACGGCCACAAGAACTTGTGGTTTCTATTGTTTCATGCCAATAATTTCCGTCTTGCCATAAGATACATGTGAACCTCTTGCCTGCAGTTTGTCTGCATCCTGTCACTGTAGCATTGCACCATTTTCAAATATATATTGTTGTTCATTTTCACCCTTAAAATGAACTTTAACTATCAACATTTGTACAATTTACCACAAGATATTTGAAAGATGAGGTCAATATCTCCTTAGATATGAAGAGATTTAATTATAGTAACATTACAGTCAAACTACAACGGTTATCTGGTCGGCCCAACGGATGCATTGTGACCACAGTAAACAAAAGTGTAAATGCAATTTCATTGTCAATCCACACACCAAAAATTAAAAATTGTAAAATGTAAAAATGCATGGTGGCAGTCTTCCACAACTAAAAGCAAAAGTTTGACAGCACACAGGCAGTGTTGTACACATGGCTTTAAGTTTCATTTTCACACAAAATAAACTCACAGTATTTTGGAAACCAGTCTATTAAACAACTGAATAAATTAAACAGATCTTGATTGTCTCTCAACGTGGAGACAAATAAATACCAGATGTATCAGGTTAAAATCCCATCTAGAGACAATCTGCTACAAGATACATTTTGATGCAAGGTGTAAACGGAGTCTATGTCTCTTAAGTTGATGCAATAGTTTTTGGGTTGATACCATTTGTCACAAAAATTTGGTGCAAAATGGACCGATTTCTTAAATTCCCTCCAAAACACCACATTAGGGGGGAAAAAGGCAAAAATGTATTCGTATCAAAAACTTTTGATATTTCTGTAAGAATTGCATGATTTGGCGATGGCAAGCATATTTTTGCCGGGAAGAGAACTTGTTCAGAGAACCCCTTATTGTCAGACATCCATCTTCTGGAGGCCCTCGGTCTTTCATGAGGCTAGCTCAGAACAATGACACGCCCACTATGGGGACGAACATTATCACACATGAATACAACTGCACTCATTGAATCCACAATTAGAATAGAATAAACTTTATTGTCCTGGAGGAGAAATTTGTCTCTGGCACAGTGCTACAAATTGTTGCTTCACAGAAACAAACATATCCCAACAACAGACACACATAAAAAAATGGTTGCATTGATGTTTCATGTTTCAATCAAGATGAAACATCTTAAAACATGAAAGACGCTATACAATCTAACACTGGCAATGTGGCTGCTTACTAAGAGACTGTAAGAAACTATAAGAATATAAGTGCTACAGTGCTGGTTTGTTTATTGCACATTGCCCTATTTCACTATTTAATATTAGAGTTCAGCAGCTTGATAGATAGATAAAGCTCTAGTGTGTAACATTGAGGAGGATCTACTGTCAGAAATTAAATATAATATTCACAGGTATGTTTTCATTAGTGTATAATCACCTGAATATAAGAATCGTGTTACCTTAGAATGAGACGTTTCGTATACAGAGGGAGTGGGTCTTCTTCTACAGAGTTCACCATGTTGGACTATCATGTTTCTACAGTTGTCCAGAACAAACAAACCAAACACTAGCTCTAGATGGGGCCTTTTGGTTTCACAGGTTTCGCAGCCACTGTACTTTCTCCTTTAAAAGTATTGTTTTAGCACTGGTATCAGAAAAAACTCAACGTGGGTCCAAGGCACACCTGTGTAATAATAATTATCTTAGTAATGGGGAACTGCTCACTAACACAGATCATAACAATTTTGTGTTCAAAATCTGAGAGAAATAAGCATTTTTTGTGCATATAAAAAGTATTTTATTTCAACTCATGAAAAGAGAGAGTAAAAACAAAAGTCTTTATATTTTTGTGTTGTGTATGTGAAAGCAGCTTTCTTCATCAACAGGAAATGCATGGCTTCCTGTCAGTATATTCAAAGGTAACAAGCAGCAGCTCTCTGCAGATGCAAACTTTGCACCAAAGATGAAGAACGTCTTTCCAAAATTCGCTCTCAAACAATACAGCACCTACATCGCAATCATTGTGATATTTATTCACAATGTTGTGCTTGACAGGGATTTGGAGTGCTCATGCCGACAACAAGCTCTAAACTGCAGTGTATACATGGCTCTACCGTGTTTGATTATATTTGTTTTACAACTCTGGATGGACAAGACTATTCAGAGAACCTGTGGATATAGGTGCACATTTTTCTGTGTTTTCTTGTGTAACATTTTTAAGGCAGCTTTCATTGGTCTGCTGTGGGTTGTATCTGTGTTAATCGATGGAGACTGGTTTGTTTGCTGTTGGAATGATCATTCTGACAAACAGGCACAGTTAGCCTGCAAAAACAAAAACAAGATAAACCTGACACTCGATGAACACTCAATCATCGCTGAACTGAAAAACAAGTCCATGGTGAGTTTTTCTTTAATCTGTGTATTATCTGTACAGCCTCTAGCAATGTTATACGGAGGCTGAGAAAAGCCAATGTTGTATTTATTTTATCTGTCACCTTGAGATCATGAGTTATCTTGGAAAAGTAAAAACAGTTGGTCTTGAGAAAATGAAAATTCTTATCCAGAGATAAGTTAATTTGATAACGTCTTCAATTAATAAGAGTATAGCAGGTGTAGTGATAATTTTGTGTTTCTTTTTCAGTTCATCGGCCTCTGTCTGCTCTTCTGTGCCCTTTGTGTTGCTGCCTTAATGTCACCATTTGGATGGATGAAATGCTTTTGGAAAGATTGTTGTAAGAGAGACTGTTGTTATGAATGTTGGAATGATTGTTCCGACAAAGGAATTCTATATTACAAAGTGATTTTGGACGAGGAGGAAACTGTACTGACAGAGATTTTGACAAAGGCAGCAAAAGACAAGTTGACTGAAGCAATCAAGAACAAAATAAAAGGAAACGACTGGAGAGAGTGTTTTAATGTGGCTAAAGAACTGATTGGAAATAAACCTGAAATAAAAGACAAGGTAAAGAACCAACAGTTGGCTGCATGTTGAGCTTTGTGTGTTTTTGTCATTTTTATTTTGCCTTTATAACCCACCACTTTGTTACAGACAACCAGTGCAACACAAACTGGAACAGAAGTAGAACCAACAGGACAAGCAAGAGGACCACAAATGCAGGTCTGACCTAACCCCCCCACCCCCATTTCGGCACCTCTGTCAACTTTCTCCTTTGCTTTTTACACAGTATTTTTTTCTCCCCAGGATGGCAAAGTCATCACTCTGCTTCTGATTAACTTTCTCTGATATTCTTTACCTTAACTAGTCTCACTCCTCAGAACTAAATCTGACCAACCAAACCAATGAATGCAACCAGTATAAGCCAGTCAGAAGCAAAGTAGGGCGGGTCATAACCTGGCAAAATGTGGCTTATTTGAGTACAGGAGAAAGTTGACCCAGGTTCTGACCGAGGCTTGCTTAACGGTTATAGGAGCACAGAGCAAAAAGGGGCGGTACTTAGGTCAATTAGCTAGCTCACCATAATATCTGCTCAACTAACCATCATTAGTTTTATCACAAGTGAAAAGTAGATCACATTATGTAAAGCAGTTTTATTTATAGATCACAAAAACACATACGTTACACAGTGAGCAGCAGAACACCACAGAGTGATACTGATGCATCAATGTTCAAGATGTACAGTTATTTTTTAATGGACTTAGTTTATTCTTTGACAATGTATTGAATTTAATTAAATATATTAAATGTTTTTTAATTTGAAAAGTAACTAAATATTGATGTTAAATAAATATAGTGCAGTTAAATGTATAATATTACCATGAGAAGATCCAATCTTTTCAACAGTGCAGTGTTTCATTATTGTTGTTATTTCCACAGTTGTAGTTGTATTTGACAAGTTGGGATTGAGAACAAGTTTTGAATATAAATGATCAAGTGCTATATAAATGTAATCCATTATTATTATTAGATAGACAGATAGCTTGGTTGCACCTAACCCTTGTTGCTGGTACTTTTCTATAATGTTGTTGTAGCGCAATTTGCATGTGCGGATGTGTACAGAGGAGAGAGAGAGAGAGAGAGAGAGAGATTGTTTGGCATCAGGTCATTCTTTTGGGTATGTCTCCCCAGTGTTGCCGTAGAGCACTTGCTATAACAAAGTATACAATGTGTACTTGATGTGATGCTACTGTTGCATCTGTTGCTGCGTCACTGAACCCGTAGGTCTCCTTTCTGACTGGCTACTTACATGGGCTCAGCTGGTGAAGTGTCTGCTGCTGGTTGGCTCCCCCCGTGACATCCGCAACATCCGCCGTGTTTTAAACGTCTGGCTTCACAGCAGTTGTAGACAGAAAACCTAGCAGCAGCATCATTCTGTCCTCGGGCCGTTGAGAAAGTGTGTGTAGTCGTAAGAAAGTTGTTGGCAACGATTAGCGAGTTGTAAAGATTATTATTTTATTTTTTTCTTATGGTTGTATACAGTGGGTGTTGTAGGGGTGAACTGCCATTTTCTTTTGTCCTGTTTTTCTCCTGTTTTTCCATTAGGTTAGGGATTTTTTTTGTTTTTAAGATTTTGGGGCTTTTTCCAGTATATGCAACCAAAGTGTGGTCGCGGCACCCCGCCGGAAAAGCAACACGGTGCGTCAAAACAAACTCATCTGCAAGCACAGCTGCTTTTGACAAAGAATCCGCTTTTTACAGAGCAGAACAATTTTCTCCCTTGTATGTTTTGTTGGGGATTTTTCACACGTCCAAAATTTTTGGCGATATGCCTCAGGAACCAATTCATAAGCACGGTGGCAACAGTGGATTTTCACAATTTCATAATCCAAACATTCACGAATGGATAAACTCACACACACTTCCTGTGCCTTCCCCACCAGTTTACATTGTAACAGCAAACTACACACATCTTTGGGCCATCTTAACGTTGCTGCGATGCGCTAAAAAGCATTGAAGTACGAATCAGCTTCACTTTCTCTAAATGGTGGAACTAAGGCAAAATGCCTGTTCACATCAAAATGCTCAGAGGACAGCAGGAGCCTCCGCCCCCGCACTCACCTGGCCGCCGAGGGCTTGTGTGGCTGTGGCAGCCTCCGCTCCCACTTCCTCATATAAACCCTCCGGTGCATGAACCTTATGAGGCTTTGTCTGTGTAACTATACCGCTCTCCACCAACCTCTGCTTGATTTCTGCCTTGCGTGCTTTCAAAGGAACAGAGATGTCAAAGAATTTAGCAATTAAACCTAAATCTGCTTTTGTGCATCTATCTATTTATCTAGGGTGGGATTTTGTGCAAACTCATCCATTTCAAACTCCATTCTCCCATCACACATGAAAAAAAATCGCCAACCAAACATAAGATAGAGGACAACAAGAAAAAAATAGTAAGAAAGAACGAGCCCCCAACTTATGTTACGCCCCTGTCTAGGGGGTAGGAGCGCAACATAAAAGTAAACTTTCCCATCCCGGCCCCCAAACCAAAAACGAACACGGGTTTAACAAACAAGTGAAATAATTTATTTTAAAAAACGTAAAAACAAAATTGCAACAAAACCAGGAACAAACTTCAGGGTAAACCAAGGCCAAAACAACAAATAAAACAGATCTAACTTCTTCAAACAAAATGCTGACTAATTCCTAGTTAACATAAGAGTAAAACAAAAGACATTCACTAACCCTAACTCCCTTAAAAAAATAAAAATCTATTATATTCACAACAGTAACATGTTTTCAACAGAAAAACCTGATGTGACCTCACTTAAGGGAGAGTGGCCAATCTAGGTCAGTTTTAACAATAATAAATATGGCCTAGTTTTGAGACATGAAGGAGAGATTGAAAGACAGACTGAGACAGAGAAATGGGGATGGGTGGGGAGTTTCCAGAGCCTCACACATGACTACTGCAAATACAGTAATATTAAATTAACTAGTTTTTACGCCAATAGCGTGGCTCTAGGGATGGCAATGATGGTCAGTCATTCGAACCAGACTGAAACAACTATTGGCTGGATTGTGGATTGTGAAATTTTATACACACATTCAGGGAGCCCAGAGGATGAATCATAATGACCTTAGTGATCCTCTTACTTTTCCTCTAGTGCCACCATGAGGTTGACGTTTGTGGTTTTGAGTGAAATGTCTCAACAACTATTTGATGGACTGTGATAAAATCTAGTACAGACATTCATGCCCCTGCCATGCCACAATCAGGTCAAAATGTGTATTTGTCTAACAATTTGGTGCTAATACATGGCGGCCATGGCAACCCACTCAGGGCTGTCCATTAATCACAGGGATTGTGGTTCAATCTCTGGCTCCTCCTGTCCACATGTCCTTGAGTAAGCGACTGAGTGAGACTCTCCCGATGGGCAGGAGTGAATAAGAGGACTGGAGGAGTGACTGTGAAAGCTTTTTGTCCATGAAGTCCATACTTTGTGAATGCTGCTATTTAGTTACATCACACTGTACAACATAAAGCAACATTTAGAGGCTTTATCGATGCAAACATGAATTCAGTCCATAGAACCATCTTTTCATGGAGGTAAAAAGACGCAGATCTGGAAAAGACGTTTTCAACTGAGATGAAAATGTTTAAAATTAAACAAAAATTTGCATTTGTTCCCACATTGTATGAAGAATGTACAGAATCCTATGTGGCAGAAAGGAGCAAGTCTGGAGAAAACAAAGTCAAACAAGTAGAGATTCAAGTAAGTTTGAAAATCTGTTTGTCTGTATTGTTTCACAGTGTCAGAGTCTGTGCTGGCTTTAACAGCAAACCTTCTCACTGCGTTTCACTCCCACTGTTCACTTCCACACAATCATTGCTCGGGAGCACATGCACAATGGTCCCCCACAGCACTTCTACCTCAAACCACAGCTTCAGCTTCAGTCGCACCCACACAAAGCTGCGAGGTCAGTCTCTTAGGTAGTGAGGTCCTCAGGTGTCTGAACAAGAACTCTGCTGGTGATATAATACTGGTGAGAGCGCCTCATTAGACTCCAGGACCCGTAAATGAGGACATCTTGGAAAAGTTTGTTAATTGTTGTTTCCTATATTTACAATACTCACAGTTGCAAGTGTATATCTTTCTTCATAAGCTTGAGATTTGGTTTGAATTGGTTATTTTGGCTTTTACCTGTAGTGTTCTTTCACAGTAGCATCCACAGGTTAATGTGGTGACTCAAGCCGGCGGTCAGTGCCAGTACGCTGCCAGTGCATTTTCAATCCAGCTTGGCAGAGAGCCCAGTGTTGGCAGCCGGCCTTACCTGGCCAGCACAGCAGAGCAATGTGGTCCAAATACCCACGGAGCCCCGAGCAGCTCAACCTCACATTACCAGCCAGCTGATTAGCATAGACGCTTTGATATAAATAAGCACACACTGTTGTCCCTCTGTCCCATTCACTCTGCTACTTGTTTTTAGTCATTCCAAATTCTCCATTTGGCACAATAGCAGAGGACTGCGAGAGTAACATGGCACAAACTGAGTTTAGTATTAGTGAGTTATTTGGTCATTCATGGCCGCTGATTATTTAAAAGACAAAGTCCGCCTTTGATAATTGTGATTCACTGGATATGTTATAGAGGGAAAGTACAGGAAGATTAAAATAATTGTTGTGTAGAGAGCAGCAGAAGTATTGTATAAAAACTTCTCACTAGACTCAACCACAACTGTGGCTACAGCATCTTAATTAGTTAACTGAAGGAAACCATCCTACGATTTATCAACTTTAATTTAAATTTTTGTCATTTTCCAAATCAACTTTCTTGAAGGAAGGGCCATTAACGTAGTATTCTGTCATAAATCAAAACATCATCCTAAGAAAAGTGTAATTAAAAAAGTCACAAAAAGTATTTTACCTGATTAGAAGATGTCTCTTGTTTGAACACATAGATAAGCATTAAGACTTGCTGACCTTAGTTGGTTAGTATGTCAGCTGAGGTTGTTATAAAATGTCTGTAAAAAGCCTCCCCTGCCCTTCACCTGTCCAATCAAATAAAGGCATAAAAAGACCCAAAAATGTATTTTAAAAAATCAAATCCAGATGAGATATGAATGTCATTTACAATTACATGTGTCTCCGTTGGCAAGATCACAAATCTGATTACAATCTGTCTTGGTTTTCCAGGAATTCATGCAAATCAGGATGGGCCTTACTT